AAGAGAGAGAGAGAGAGAGGGAGAGAGGGAGAGAGAGAGAAACAGACAGACAGACTGTTAGACAGACAGAGGCACAGCACAGGCAGTGAGAGAGAGAGGGAGAAAGAGGCAGAATGTAACACTGTAGTGTAGTTGTTTTACTGATTCCTGCACTTAATTAAGAGTCTTTGTTGAGAGTGATCAACATGGAGCAGTGTATTCACATATTATATTGTCCCCATTAAAAACAACAACAAACAAACCGGGAAGGTTCATCAAGAGATGACATTTATTACATGTATATAACATGCACGTGAATGACAAAAAATAGCCCTTTAGCTTTCCCCGACGGAGCCAGGTCTTGTTGGGTTTTGGCATGGAGTCACGCTATTTTGTATTAAATGTTGTTTGTGTGTTTGTTTTGTGTGTGTATTTATGTGTGTGTGTGTGTGGGAGAGAGAGAGAGAGAGAGGAGAGAGAGAGAGAGAGAGAGAGAGAGAGAGAGAGAGAGAGAGAGGGAGAGAGAAAAGGGGGGTAGTGGGAGAACGAGAGAGAGAGAGAGGAGCGAGGGTGTAGTTATTCTTGTATGTTAGGTATGTATCCGGGTTGAAACGTCTGTTGTGACACTTTAGTAGGTATTTTACACTGTTCAAAGGACTACAAGAGCAGTTCAAGGAGAGTGCAGCACCTGAACAATAGTGTTGATTGCGCAATAGAATAAAATTGGCTTTACTGTTGACTAAAAGAAAAGCCCAACACTTTAAAAAGTAGAAGTTTCATTCCCCCCCAAAAAGCAACAACAACAACAACAAAAAATCCACAAGGGATAACGATAAATTCACGGTGTTCGGCAATTACTCCCTTCTATATGAGCATAATACAGCTCAGTGTAAGTGTAAGACTCCGGCCTTAAGTCACTTTTCAAAATGGCTCATATAGCAGGGCAGAGAGTCTTACTCTTACACTAAGCACTAAACAGTCGATTTAAGGTTGCTCACATGCCCCGTTTGCTGCATACAGGCATACGTGCTCAACAACCCAGGAGTGCTGGCGCCGTCGTCACGTCAGTGATTGATGGACATGTTACGTTCTGTTCTTTACGCCAGGTGGTTGGGCTTTCATTTTTAGAATCAAGGTGTAGGCACCCCCCCACTTCCCACCCGACCCCCCTTTCCTTCTCCGCCGGTATGTATGTCTTTCGTTTGACCTATCCGCTTCTCATACTTCAAGTCCAGGGGTGCAGATATTTTAGTACATAAGTGCGGCCGAATCTGTCTAGGACGGCCATCCATTGTCGAAGAGAAAAGTAGT